TTTCAGTGTTTTTTGGAGAAATGAGTTGAAATTTTGGGGTGTGATGTGGTAATAAAGAAAAGTTTGGTCCAATTTATAGTAGTCACTTTTTGTGATGGTATTTGTTGGAGTTGGAGCATGTTTTTGTGATAAGTCAAGTGTTGTTCTACGGTCCGTTTTCTATAATCTTCATTATTGTTGTCCCCCCCAAATTTATTGGCTTTTTTTTTTTATTTTTTTTGAGATTATGGTCCTATTGGATAATTAGGAAAGCCAATTAGAGATTTGGAGGTGAATTATAGAGGTTTGATCCGTAGGAATATCTAATTTTAGGGCTTTTAGGTAGTTATACAGGGCAAGGGTCGAACCGGCCCGGAACCCCTTAAGGGTCGGTTCATGGTGGTGTTTTATTCCTTTTTTACCCATCGGGTCGGAAGACTGATCGTAATTTATTTTTTTTACCGACGGTTCGTTAAACTGTCGGGTGAACCGTCCCTTAAATATAGTCAGTTCGGGCGGGGTCGTGAGCTAGGTCGGCCTTTGAACACGTCTATAGGTATGAGGTAGTGATTTGAAATGTTTGAAACATTCAATATAAGATCAATAATTTTATTGTTTGTTGCAGGGGTGTAAACGAGCCGAGCCGAGCTCGTGCTCGAGCCTTTAACCGCCGAGCTTAAGCTCGAGCACGATCCCTTAACGATCTTATAATAGAGCTCGAGGTCACCTTGTTTATCAATTAACGAGTCGCGCTCTCGCCTTAACGTGCTAAAATCGAACCGAACTATAAAAATACATAAAAATCATCTTTTAGAGCCTTAACGAGCCTACCCAAGCTTGTCTCGATAACTGAACGAGTTTTAAATGGGCTCAAGCTCGACTCATTTAGCAAACGGGTCGAGCCGAGCTCACGAGCAATTTGTTTGATTTAATAGTTATGTTGTTGAGTAGCAATTTGAGTGGGATCTTCCTTATCTCTCTCTAAAATAGTCTCCTCTTACATAATAAAATTTGTAGATCTACGACTCTCTGCTCCTCAATCAGTCGTCCGTTCATAGAGTTGCCACCACCTCAGTTCATCGCTTCAGACATGGAACTGTCAGTGTAGGTGCAAGCACCGTTGGCCACTTCATGCATGCGAAATCTCAACCGACTCTTTTGGGCTCGACACGACGGAGATGGGACACACCTTGGAATCCTTTTGACCATCGATGGTCGGAGGTCGGGTGTCGCAGTTGAGAGGGGTGGTGGTGAATGTCCCTCTTGTCTAGTCGTTGTCTGTTTTTTGGCCGCTGAGTTTGAAGAGTGGATCTGACATGTTCTCCTCAGATTTGGAGTTCTTAGATTCGAGATTCTTGCTTTGGTGATCCGTTTTCTCTTCGTTAGGAGATTCTTGATGTAGCGCGTCACGCTTGTTGGTAGCCGTAGATTTATTTTTAAGTATTATATATTTTGTGTTGTTGGTGTGACCCTTGTTTTAGTTGTCATTTTGTGAGTTTTGTTTGTTATGATCAATCTTCCGAGTTATTCGGTCTGGCACAAATAACATAAAATTTATCTAGTTTCGTCAAGTGTGAATTTAATTTCGTCTTGTGTGGATTTTTTAGTTTGTAGTACTTGTAAATTTGTTCTTTTAATAAGGACTACTAATGTTGATTGTTATGTCCCTCCTCGCTTTGGACATAGTTTTATGACACAATTTGTATTGGTGTCAATTGACATCTGATTTTGTAATTAGTCTCGTTTTTTAGTTTAATATAATGTTATGTTTACATGACCAAAAAAAAAATAGTACCAATTTGAAATAGTATTTTGATTCAAAAAGTTAAGCTTGAAAAATTAAATATAGGATATTTTGTTTGGCTTTTGATAACATTTTATATTAGTTGATAGCTAAAAGCTTATAGCATCTTGTAGTTATGAGTCATCTATATTATGAATAGCGTTGTTTTATGGAGCATCTTCAAAATTAGCATATTGGGCCAAAATGGGCAAAATTTAAAAAATGGTCCATTATGTTGGCCATTTTCTGAAAAAAGTCTATCATCTAGGGCGTCATCAATAATGGTCCACTACGTTGCCAATTTAATTAAAAATCGTACAATAACAAACATATTGTACTAAAAGTGATCATTTTTATTTGTCATATTTAGTACATTATGTTGGTTTTTGTACCAGTTTTAATTAAAATGACAATTTAGTGAACAATTCTTGAAGACGCCCTATATAATGGATCATTTGCAAAAAATGACCAACATAATGTACTAAAAATGAAATTTAGCCGAGGCCAAAAGGTAATTGAACAAGTAATTTTTTGATGAAACAAGCTTGTTTGATTTCCGAACTAATCCAATTATTCGAGAGCTTTTTTGATTAAAAAATTGCAGTTTTAGTTATTTTTATATACACGAAATAATAATAATTTATCAAAATACTGCTGTATAATAATCATATCTAATCAAGGAATCAAATATTGTAATTGAATCCTCCGTATGGACCGTATCAGTTGATTTTGTGGTCAAAGTATAATATTTGCATTTTGAATGGTCAGAATTATAATATATACTAGTACTTTACTTGTGCATTTGCACAGATATAAATAAAGTATTGTGAGTTATTTGTATGCATATAATGATTAATAATTATTCTTGCACATTTTGCACGCTAAATTTACAATTAAAGGTGCTGGAATATTTATTTTTTTAAATTGCATTTATCATATTGGATGTAATGTATATTTTGGTATATATTTTTTTATGAATAAGTTATTTTGGAAATTTCAAATACGTTATTTTCCAAAATAAGTTAATTTAAATGTAACCACAACAGTAAAATCTAATCACGTTGAATAGTCAACACATTATATGATATGCTGTAAGTAAATCAAAAGTTTAAAATGATTTTTGTAATTTTGAAATGATTAGTGTATTGATTATCTAATAATTAACTGAGATGTAATAAATAAAAAGTAACAATTTTTGAAAGGAAAAGTTATATTGTCACATAGATATAATTTAATAAGTTTTATTAAATGTTCATGAGCCAGCAGTTATATATATATATATATAGATACGAAGAGACGGCCTTACGTTATAATTATATGTCTGTAGAACATTTCTTCTTTCTCACACACGTTTGACATTCTTTAGCTAAAAAATACTTGTAACAAAATCTAGGACTATTTCAAAATCTAATGTAAGTCAAAGAGCACGGTCAAACAATAATTAATTTACTATAAGTTAGTTTGAATTAATTCAAATATATTTTATAATTTCACGCAAGGCATGCAGAAGAATATAATTTTATTTCTTAGAAATTGGCAATAATATTTCGTGTACAATATAATTAAGATGGTGACATATTTTGCGCATGGAGTTTTTGGCCATTATATTTCAAAAGATTTAATTTATTTTCAAATTTATAAGTCCTCTAATTAATGATGTATCTTCTATATTTCAAATGCACTTATTTTGTTTTGAAAATTCGTAATAGTTGTTCTATTTTTTTTTTTTCTTCCCTTATTATTAAGCTGAAATTTGGTAGAGTACTCACAACCTATTGTGAACGTTGTTAAGAAGATCATAAAAACAACATCATGAGAATCAAATACTTATTTTTAATTGTATACGGTACTATTTTTATTATATGCGCGATTAGATATAAAATGTTATTTCTAATTATCACATAAATATATAGAAACTATTATCTTCATGGCATATATTTTCATTAATAAAATTAAATTATATAATTGAAATAGCAAGAGACTTAATAGAAAATATCATTACACATAATTAATTAAAAAAAAAAATGTTTTTTTCACTATAAGATTTATCATGCTAATTATTTGTATTTATACCGTATGCATTCACTATTAAGTTTCAGTGACTTCAAAGCCAAACCAAATTAAGTAGGAAAAAATGGAGCAAAATGTAGTCCCCCCATTATTATTATTATTATTTTTTTTTTTTTGAGAACTTTTATTTTATAAATATTTTGTTTTTTTCAACTTTTTAATCAAGTAGATGAATGAAATTGTCTGTAAAATAGACAAAAAATGATATGATAAAAAGCAACACGGAGTGGGTTGGACACTCGGCACTTGCACGTGTTCAACTAGATAAAACCCATTATTACAGTTGCCCCATAAATATAATAATTTTTTAATAAAAAAAGTTATATATATTTAGATAAATGGATTTTTTTTTAAAAAAAAAAAGGTTATGAATTTATTATATGATCCTTCTGATTTTTATTTTTATTTTTGGCTAGAAACCTTCAAATTATCAAACTGCAGGCACAATCAAATATAGGTATGTAATTTTTTTTTAAAAAAATATAAAAGTGTTACAGTCATGTTTGGTCGATAGAAATTGAATTAGCTGACATATAGTTGATTCAATTAGCATATAGGATTAGATGATTATACACATCGTTTGATAATTAATTGACTATTTTATATGTAAAAAGCAACAAATTTTACAATCATATTTTCTTAAAAACTCATATTTTTAAAGTTTT